GAGTGAACTAGAGTAAACTAGTGTCCATGGTGCTAAGTGAACTAGAGTAAACTAGTGTCCATGGTGCTAAGTAAACTAGAGTTAACTAGTGTCCATGGTGCTAAGTGAACTAAAGTAAACTAGTGTCCATACTGCTGAGTGAACTAGAGTAAACTAGTGTCCATGGTGCTAAGTGAACTAAAGTAAACTAGTGTCCATGCTGCTGAGTGAACTAAAGTAAACTAGTGTCCATGGTGCTAAGTGAACTAAAGTAAACTAGTATCCATGGTGCTGAGTGAACTAGAGTAAACTAGTGTCCATGGTGCTAAGTGAACTAAAGTAAAGTAGTGTCCATGCTGCTGAGTGAACTAGAGTAAACTAGTGTCCATGGTGCTAAGTGAACTAAAGTAAACTAGTGTCCATGGTGCTAAGTGAACTAAAGTAAACTAGTGTCCATGGTGCTAAGTGAACTAGAGTAAACTAGTGTCCATGCTGCTAAGTGAACTAAAGTAGTGTCCATGGTGCTAAGTGAACTAGAGTAAACTAGTGTCCATGGTGCTAAGTGAACTAAAGTAAACTAGTATCCATGGTGCTGAGTGAACTAGAGTAAACTAGTGTCCATGGTGCTAAGTGAACTAAAGTAAACTAGTATCCATGGTGCTGAGTGAACTAGAGTAAACTAGTGTCCATGGTGCTAAGTGAACACTATAGAACACTGTTAAGGTCAGTTCACATCAAACGACTCCAAATTTAATTGATATGTTTTATTTCTTATTTCAACTGGAATCAAGTTTCTTATCTTTTTTGTTTCTTTGTGTCCACGTGGTGTCAGAATCCTAGTCGTTTTTATCATACTTAGATTAGAATGTAACTTTAAACAGATTAAAAACATTACTTTTGACTTCTATTCTACGTTTATCACATTAAACGGAAAAAATAATACATAACCCTAAGCAGATTCACGATTCATGTCTCCTTCAACTGTAAACTGTACCTTTATCTTTATGTTTAACCACCAGAGTTAAACACTTTAATCCAAAAGGCATCAGAACACACGTCATTCACAGAAAACATAATGAGGACACGTTTCTTTGTTATTTGAACTTGATTTGAATTCATTGTTTTCGTTTTAACTTCAAACAATATAAGAATATATTTAAATCCAAATTACATCAGAATGCATTTATTTCTAACTTCATTTGATATAAGTGTCGTTTTAACTCTTTTAACGGAAACAGAATATGTTCTCTTTTAACCCCATACAACATTAATATAATTTCAACTCCAAATGGCACTTTAAAGATATTTCTTTTTAACTCCTTACGACATTATTATCATTTTAACTTTAAATGGAATCGGAATGTGTTTCTTTTAACTCCACATGACATCAGTGAGGTTAAATGACATTTTAACTCCAAATGGTTTCGATGCGCGTGACAACTGTGTCATTTGAATTTTGAAATACATCGGAATGCGTTTATGTTTTAGCTCCATACAAGGCCAGTGTCGTTTTAGCTCCTAACAGCATCGGAATGTATTTCTGTTTGTTTGTTAGTTTTACCCCCGATACCATGAAGATTTACGTACTTGTTTCTTCGTAAATGAATAGTGCTCGGCATAGCCAGGTGGATAAGGCGCTCGACTCACAATCTGAGGGTCGCGGGTTCGAATCCGCATCACACCAAACATGCTCGCCCTTTCAGACGTGGGGGGTGTTATAATGTGACGGTCAATCCCACTATTCGTTGGTAATAGAGTAGCCCAAGAGTTGGTAGTGGATGGTGATGACTAGCTGCCTTCCCTCTAGTCTTACACTGCTAAATTAGGGACAGCTAGCGCAGATAGCCCTCGTGTAGCTTTGAGCGAAATTCCAAAACAAACAAAATCGTAATTGAATCAGAGAAAATAAGGCTTTAAGATACTAATGTTTGCGAATTTGTGTTCGTTAATGTGAAACCAACGTTAAATGTTTATTCCTGAATTATTTCGGTCCGTTTGTTTGTTGGTATAAATCTCCTCGAGAGCTATCTGCTTCCCTGGCCATCCATAATTTCGAGGTGATCGAATAGAGAGAGGGCAAGCAGTCAGCACTGCCCACCGCCAATTCTTAGACTACTTTTCACAAACCGAATAGCAGAATTTGAAAGTTACTCAAAGTATGAAGTAAACCACTGAATCTTGTTTCCAGATTCTGTCATGCAAACCAATGGCCAAACTCAGCTCTTCGTGTAGAAACAATCTTTACTAACATACCATTTGACGATAAGCCCCCATTTGACGATAAGCCCCCTCTAAGAGCCAATGGTATCAACAAAAAATGCATCTTGAAGTATCTATGAAATATTGTAAACATTTTTCTTACAACAGTATTCCATCCAAAAGAAAATCGTTTCCATAGAAACCACAAATATCCAACTTATTAGTTATCTTTCTTCTTCTGAACTTCATACTAGCAGCTATCGTTCTCGACGCACCTTACATGATCTAAGAACTTTAATGTTATCTTTTATAATGCTGTTTTATGCTATATATGTGCCAAAAAGAAATAAACCTGCAATCCACATTCCACGCTCATTCAGAAGAACTGGCTTTGATATAACACGAACCAGAAAACTTCCAAGAACTTTATCGACAAAGACACCAATAGACGTCTAGCCCCGACAGCCAGACTTTTCTTTTAGCTCTCTTTCTGTTTAAAGCTGCTAAAATCTTTTTCAGTACCCGAGGGATTTGTCGGTTCAAGCTTTGTTTTTGTTGTTGTTTTTTGTAAACTTTTATGTTAGGCCAACTACGATTCATCATATCTGAATATTGACTAAAATAAAGTTAGGGATTTGATGTATTTCCGTTTCGTTCATAGAACAACTTCTATTGATTCTGGGTTGATGAATGAAACAAAACCAATAGTCGTGTGCTCTCTTTCTTTATAGAAAATTTCATGTTAAAGATTTGACAAACCTAGATCAAATACTAAGTTGTTGTTGTTGTTGTTTTTCTTTAATTTATCTTTTATATTTTGTGTTTGGACTACATAACACCGAGATTAGGAAACGAAACTAGTAGATTTAAGTAGTGTCAGCTTTTATCATCGGCAACATGATAAATAACGAACAATATTGTAAAAATATTTTAAATTCAGGCCAATCTATAGCCCTAAAAAATTGAAATGTTTCGACGTTTCAACGTCATCATCTGGAGTGAAATTTCAAGACGAAATATTAATATTGTCACATTGATATCTTTTTAGCTAGGTCATGTGACCTGTGTGTAGGTTTACTATTTATGCTTAACTCTTGGAGGAGGTCCCGTCACATTCTTACATAGATATCCACTGGAGCTTTGTCTCTATTTAATCATTCGTGATTCATTTTCTTATTTCCAAAGATTCGCGGATATTATTGACTATAATATCTTTTGGTTGAGTCAATATTACTGTTTTTCCCATAATATCTTATGTTGTGTTTTTTATCAGTGTAGTTAGATCAGTGGTAAGGAATATAATCGAAACGACATGGCTATGTCTTAAGACAAGGAATTGTGTCTGGTTTCCACAATGATTAGCCAATTTAGTAGGGATCTAAACACACACACACACACAGATATTTGTAGAATACTCCCTATATTTGCATCTGCAGAATAGATTATTCGTGTGATGTCTCAAGTGATTACTTGAGTTCTATAACTGTGGAAATGTGGTATTACTGTGGTCAGTTTGTACAAAAATAGGTAAGAGCAAGATTCTCGTAGACTTTCAAAGTACTATGATAGTAGATACAACAGGAGTGTCGTTATCGCGAATCAAATTGTTGATCAGTTTGCAGCTATCAGAATCTATTAACAATGGTCATTGAAAGGTAAACTTATTTCACTGTGATCATCAAATGACTGTGACAGGGCGAGTGGAAAGACAAATGGACATGCATTGATAGCACAAAACGCGTGAGACTGTGACCAAACTAAACAGTAAATGATTAAAAGATGACACTGCAATCGCATGACTCGAGCTTCGCTATTTCCCTAATGTGTAATTAAAAATATATTACAAAGCACATAAGCTATCGGATATAGCGTAAAGGGTGAATAACGTTTTTGCCGTTCACGTCCACCCCACAATACTTCACTTTCATCCTATCTACAAAGCTTCTTTCAAGACGATAATGCGTCAATCCGTCGTGCCAATATTGCTCAACCGTCTTCCTCAATCAG